ACGCATCGGGACGACGTTCTCCTGGCGCTGGACGTGTTTTCTCGTTCGGCTGCCAACTTATTCCAAGCGGTCTTTCAATCTTCCTGCACGGAATACAGTTTCCTCTCAACTGGCGTCCAGCACCTCTTTGTATCCGGAACCACGCCCGGAGGTCGCGGTAACTTGGATCTGCCCATAACTTAGCTGCCGCGACACATTTACTTTGCATTCAGAGATGCGACCGTTTTCAGGCCAATCGGGCGAAGACGCTGTACCACGTTCGAACGGATATCCGCCTTGGCCATTCCTTTATTCCTGGGTACCATAACGACCATTCCGAGCAAATGGTGCATGATCCCGAAATTTAAGTAATTTAATGGGGTTTTCATGCGATAGGTCATCCATCATAAGTGATTAAAAAAAATCGGACTGTTCAGGACGGAGAGCAGTGCTGACCCGCGCGTGTATTTAATTATAGTGGAGCAGACATACACTGCGTCTTTCTCGTACTTTATCCCTACATTCACTGAGTCCAGGCGGCAAGAAAAGGTTGAAATGTTGGAACCGTAGCTGACGAAGCACACACCACCTGACTTCCAACTCCACACGTGCCAGGCCTCTTTGCGCGGTCTCAGATCTCACGCGAGGGCGACAGCGCCATAAGGCCACATTTGGGAGTAGGCATTGCTGGCTGAACGTCAGTCCTGAGTAGAATCGAGCCAGGCCTCTAAGATGCGGTTCCTAGCGCGCCGTGTTAACTTGTTATGGGAAAACTAAGCGCTGGATGTGAGCTGGACCTACATTGCCCCCCCCCCCTTTCGCATAAACCCGTGGCTCTTCCGAAACTTTGGGGTGGCCAGTGATGGATTTGGGCGTCGCGAACTAATAAAAACACCAGTACACAAACACTGAAGGCGCCTATCATGACGCTCGGACAATTATGGTGCCAATGCAAAGTCACTGATATGATATGAGGAAAGAAGAGCCGCACGTTACCGCGCTTGATGGGCTACTGCTCGGGGTGAGGGTATGATTAGATATGAGAGGAGCCGTATGCTACGAATCAGGGCTGTTTGCAGCATCCGTAGTAGCGACAAGCCGTGTTGTCGGTCTTGCTAATCGCGACCTGTCAAAATCTAATGATATCATAAAAACAGGGAAACCGGAATGCTATTTCCTTGGGTCCCTTAATGCGATTGTGGTATATTAAGGAAGAGCCGTATGTTATGACATCTATTTTCTTAGTGCTCTTTTTGAAAAGTCATTGATATTTTTAAAACTAAAATGAGCGTTGTGCTGTGACGCCTGACTGCCCACTCCGGCCCACAGGAAGCCACGACGACACGCTCCCCATTATGGATCTTTATACCAAGCTATCTAAATGAAATAAGTAGCAATCGGGTAACAAGTAACTTTGGTAGGGCTATATAAGTCATCCCTGTCCCAGAGCGATACGGCCCTACTTCTTAGTTAAGAAGGGAAGTGTCGTAGCCAGAGGGACACCAGTAGCCTCGGCAGTCGCAAGGTTAAACAGCAAGGCAATCGTACATCCAAGTCGACGTCACAAGCCTCTGTCCTACAACACCAAATGGAGGAGGAGTAGGCAGTGCAAGATAGGCGGTTTGTTCAGACCAACTATTTAGGAGTAGAAACCGACCGCATGAATTCTGCGAATTAGCTCCACTCAATAGTGTAGTCATTGAGCTTGACTGAGATGGTGACTGGCCAAATTGGAAGTCAGGGTGACAGCCGAAGGTATGTGGCTCGGACTTTGGACGGAGAAAGAGGCAGCTACCGACCGAAAGTTAAATTTGCACAGGCCACGTGCGCCCCGAAGTCTCGCTTACTGGCTGACCGCTGGCGGCGGAACGCTGTGCGGGCTGCAAACGCCGACTATTACTGCAACAGGCACTTGGTTGCGTAGAGGACACAGGACCAGCGGTAAGGGGGCTGCGCCATGAGTCGCCACAACCTCATCTCATGTAGACGTTGGTACAGCTTTGACGTCAGTCGTTGCGTTGGTCTTGTCTCGCTAGTTCCAGGACCATATCAGCCAACCCAGACGCATGGTCAGGCCACATGCCGCACAGTAGAAATGCAAGGGAACATATAAAAATAATTGGAAAAAAAGCCCAAGTCCGGAGTCCAATCCCTAGTCCTGCAAAAGGCTGGCTGGCTGACGGCGGCTAACAAGCCAAGAAATGACTATCCAAGTCTCCCCTATTTTTGTCAATATTCCCATTTGTACAAAAACCGGTTGCTTCGCGATTGCCTGTGAGGGTTGTAGATTGATTCCCATGGCGCAACGGGACGAGCGCGTCCCGTAATCTGCTCGGTGAATGCCCGATGATAGTGTATTTCCCAATCGCAACCGACAGGACAACAGACTCGTGACTCAATGATAGAGCTCTGGGCATAATAATGCTCCATAACCAAGAAAACGCGAGTTCGGATCTCGGACTCTGTGGACCTGAAGTTGGGTAGGACTGACTGACGACGACAAACAAGCTAGAAATATGGACTCCCAGTAGGTGAAGCGTTAGACTAGGGGACGACTTGCTGCCTTCGGCTCTGCTGTGAGCACATATTCTGAGGTACTACTGGCTTACAAGAATTCGGAAATCTGGCTTGTACTTACGAACCGAGTCGTCGATGACGAGATCACTGCTTCGCAGGAAAAACGTACTATAACTACCAACGCAGTTTGAACCGGTTCGTACGGTCATTGAGTATTACGTGAAGAGCACTAGTGCCTCCACAGACAGCCTGTGGGGCTGGGGAATGGGGACAAACTTACCGCCCACCTAAGCGTGCAGAGTCTATTCACTAGCGTGCTGACGATAAAACCATCTGGACAGAGTTACATTACCGACAAAGGCAAGGGAGACTGGAGTGGCCCTTTCTGACTTAATAGTCGTCGTCAGCCAGCCACACCCAATCCCGAGGAGTGCAACGCTTGGGGTTCGATCGCTCGGACCTGTTGGGTAGAAATCCAACGCCCTAACCACCGATCCAAGGGCTCGTCGTCCCGTCGGTTGCGATCGAGAATATACAACGGTGGCGGAACGCTCACCGATCGTGTTACGGAAGTCGCTCCTCCCGTTGTGTCTTGGGGCGCTCTGTCAAGCCCCGCCAACAGCCGCATAGTTGAGCTGAATACAGGCAGAAATGGCCGTTCAAATCTCCGTTGTCTTTGTCGGTAATGTCACTCTCCCTATAATACGCGTCGTTGTGCAGCTGCTGGTTGGGCTCGAGTTAGAGAGCCTCAAGACACAACGGGACGAGTGAGTTCCGTAACACAATCGTCGAGCGCTCCTCTACCATAGAGCACAAATTGTCCGTTTGCATTGGATTTTCTCAAGTCGTCAGCAAGCTCTGGTATCGTGATGGTTCTACGACGCTCACTGAAATAAAATCGGCTTTAGTCTCGCTGTCAGCCACTTTTCTCATTTCGTGTGGCGGATCTCGCATGCCTAAAATATGAAATAATGGAATCTTTTCCTTGTGAGCGACCATAAAATCGGTGAATACATGTACCCTCCGGTCTTAGACGTCGGCATTTTGAACAGTCTGTCAGCTATTTACACGCCTTTGCTCTCCGTCACCCCATCAGCTCTTCCTACCTTGTTTGCATAAAAGAGTTGCAAATCTGCCTTTGTGATGCATTGCTAGAACCTGGTGAAGTGGACAGGCGTATCAGAAGTAAGCCGGATTGGGAAATCCAAGTGTTCAGGATGCAGCATAAGTTGGTCCGTTCGTTTTAATGAACAGAAAATAGAAGGACCAAATACGAGGCGCAGCGCGACATGGCGAGAGCTAAACAAAGTTCTCTGTCAGCTGAATCGTTTGCTTATGAAAAACAAGTGCTTCGCGACCTCACCTTCCCTCTGCTCGTTGGATTCTTAAATCAATAGTCAAGTAACCCGAGCAGAGTGTGCTCGCGCGTACCAGAAAACACTTCCAGGCGCACGGTACGCGGCTCGGCATAACCCCGAACAAGAAAGCGCCTTCGTATCTTGATCAATTAATGCGCAAGGGTGAGCCATCCACGTAACTCATGCCTCCAGCAAGTGAAAATGTTGTCGCTTGAGCGTCAGCTCAATGGAGAAATTTTACTTGTGAGTAATCCCACAGCATAATTTTGACCCTGAAAACCACGGCGTCCCATCTCAATCGAGGAATTACTTTTACTGCAAGAAGGTCAGTAATAAAGGAACAGCAACCGGAAGATTTATGAGGCGATGTGCAGCCGGTCCATGGTCGGGCTCAGCAAATTCCTCCAGCCACCGTACATGGCTTGCTTTTGTGCGCCATGACGCCTATTTTATGCTTAAATAATGGGCATAAGCCCGTTCAACAGTCTTATTTAGGATAAAAAATTACCAGAAACAGACAAAATAAAACCGAGAAACTATAAAGCTCGAGGGTGGGTCAAGGGCCAAATCTTCTTCTCATCATCTCGCCTGCAAGCCAAGACGGTGAAATAATTCTGATCAGCCAGTCACAGATGCCCGAGACATTGGGAATTGAGCCGTGACAGCATTAACTCCTGTCCCTACAATGTTTTTTTTCATAACAGACTATATGGTCGCCTACAATGCACACCCGGTCCAGTCGTTTAAGGCAATGGTGGTTTGATCGGATGCTGTACCACTTCGCAAAACATGGACGACTTGCTGGCAGTGGATCGAAATGTCAGACGTCAAAAACGCCAAGGAAAATCGCTAGGAAATTATGACCGAATAGAAACATTTAAACAAAGGACTAAAAAAGTATAATAACAGTCCCCCTGATGATAATGTGTGCGTGTAGCCGAATAATAGATCGCAGTCTGAAAGAGTGGCGCATGACTTGGGGCACTGCGAAATCATGGCGCTACCATTTCGCGTTGGGGTGGTTACCTTTGTCCTGCTAAATGTATCACTGACCCACATGCAGCAAAACATGTGGCTGCGTACAAACTAGAACTCATATGGTTTCTAAAATAAAGGTTGCTCGAACAAGTATGTTGCAGGAGGGGGCTATGGGAAAGAAGTAGATTCAGAGGAAGGAAATGAGGCTTCGCTGGAGTGACTGGAAAGTTCGGGAGACTGCAATGACTCCGCGTCCTTCGAGAGGTCCTCCAGTTGGGCCAAGTACTGCTGTCGTGCTGACTCAATTTTAGAATCAAATCGAGACCGAGATCTTGCCTCCTCCTCAATTGCCAGTCGGACCCTTTGGACTTCTTGGGCAGCGGAGCCTGAGATTAATTGCTGTCGGAAGAGTGTCTCGAGAGTCTGGATTGAAAAAGCAGTGGGGGTAAGCGGAGACGAAGGAGCACTACCACGACAAAGTACGGAAAGCAGTCACTAATTCAGATTGTAGAACTGAGCACAACATTACAACTCAATCGTCCTTGGTCCGACGAAAATAGCCAAACGAGGTCGCCTATGCTATGTAAGTATCCCTAGGGGTACTAAATAAAACAATTCATTCATTCACGCCTCGGAAGTAATCGTCTGCAGGCAGATAACCAACCGATTTGTTCTTCGTGTAGGATGCGATAATGTTAAAAGGAAATTCAACAGCCGTTTTAAACATGTACGAAAGATTGTAGGTACTTACTCTGACTATAAATGTTGCTACTGGACAAAAAAAACTGGATTCTCCTAACGTTAATTCGATCACAATTGTGGTTAAAATCCTCAGCCAAATATCAACCAGGGTGGAGTCTGGTTCGCATAATTGTATCGAGCGAACGGTGATACTGTAAACTGAGAAGTTGCCTTTACGTCAGCACTATAGGGGCAGATACATGAGCACCTATGCCATCGCTAAATCACTCGCTTCTCCCGTCCAGTCTGAACCGATTTGCGCACAACGTGACGGACGCACGTAGGGAGTATGTACCACAGGGCTTTGACGCAGGACCTAAGAAAAATTTCTATTCTTGAGTCATCGACACAAGCATAATGTTGCCAACTTTCTGCCTGTAAATGAGAGTATACCTAAACAGTTCTTCAAAAATCACTTTAAGACTTTCGAACACAAAATGTCGCACAACTGTAGTAAAGGCTAACTTTTCGGGCAGCTTCCATTTCCTCCGTCGCAGTGCGGTACTCCCCGGAAAGGCTCTGATACCCGGCAGTCTTTATAAGAAGGCTCTTGTACTTGACTTTGCCCAACGTCCGGCAGCGCCTAACGGCCTGGTTATTCAGCTTGCGTCGGATAGCATACTCCTGAGAAACTTTTTCTTCCAGTGGAACGGGTTTGTAAGTTCGACGAAGTTCTGTAACACCATCTGAAGTGCTAGAAAAGCTGGCAGTGCTTTCAGTGGGTTTGACATCAAACAGGCCGGGGTCGATATCCAAAGGTGTGTCATAGAAGTCCATTTTACAGCAAAAGTTTCAGTTAAACATGTAAGCTCGCTATAGGAGATACAGCTGCGGAGAACTGTTTTGCTAAATAAGAGGAATTCAGTGCGTCTTCTGTTGTTCCGGGATCCAAAGGTGATGACAGAAGAATACTGATCATGTGTCCGTACGTTTTCAAATTTCTGATGTCTGTTTGGTAAACAAAAAGTCGGCATAATATTGAGTGTCCAAAATGAATAACATATTACAATAAACACGGCAACTCTGAAGACCTTTATGGAAAAGTGGTCAGGCCAAAGTATTAGGAAGATACAAGGAAAAGTTAAGGCGTAAGAAGCTGGTGCGCTAAGAATGGGCAGCATCTCCGCATAATGAGATAGAAGCATGGTAGTCGCTTCGAAACATAAGAGGATTTCCTAATTTTATAGCTCTTTGTTCTCGAGTGAGAATTAAAACAGGTAATCCCACAGTATTCACCTAGCAATAGGTTCCCGCGAACATCATGGAATAGCCTGTGGCAACGCTAAAAGTGACGGCTTAGTAGAGTATTACATTGGTCTGTTGGTTTACAGCCTGCATAACTAGTTCCTGAACGTCCCGTGCAGTTTGCACATTTAATTCAAGCAGCTCCTTCGCTGTAGAACTCACGCATCAAGATGTTCTGATCTAGAGCATGCTGAGAACGAGAAAAATTCTCATGAGGACTAAGCAGTTGTATTCCACATTACTTCACTCATACACAACCAGTAGAGTAGGGCGCCGCGTCGAATTCTCGAATGACTCTTTTAATAAACTAACAAGTGTATGAGCGTACAGGAGAGTCAGACAAGTTGCGGCGAGAAGGATTAGAACAATTATCTAGGCCTGTTTTAGAATTGCGAAAATTCCCATAGCAGTAATCAGAAGACGCGGTGGCGAGCATATGTAGTTTCCAATAACGAGACCGGACAAAGGAAGAGGCGTCGTTATAATGAACAGATCGGACTACGTAGCGAAGATACAGTCCATATTATCACACCTGAAGATATTCAAGAAGGCAGACAAAGAAAAAGATTGTACGGATGAAGTAGAGGCGATACTGACTGACTGTCTAAGACGGCTCCACACAGGGGATTACATAAGTGACTGTGACCTCGAACACCTCCGACCAGTCGGCACACATATCCCTCGACTATATGATCTACCTAAGATCCATTAGGAAGGCCTGCCGGTCCGCCCGATTTCAGACATCCGGAACTCTCCGTATCATGCGATAGCAAAGCGGTTAGCAGCAGTGGTCAGCATCAGCTAGCACCACGCAGTTATCGAGAAACCTTTGAATTCATTAACGACATTAAAGACCTTAGCCTCGACGGCATGATGATGTTCTCCCTGGACGTCTCATCACTTTTTTATAAACGTTCCCGTTACCGAGACAGTTGAATAAATCTGTGAATTTCTATCAAACAATCAGCAGGAAATAGGAATTCCGATGAAGACACTCAAGGAATTACTACTAAGATGCCCATTAAATGCGCAGTTCCTGTTTGACAACCAACTCTATAGACAAGTAGACGGCGTTGCTATGGGCTCGCCTCTTGGACCACTCCTAGCCGAAGTCTTCATAGGCGAGCTGGAGAGATTCCAACTAAGCGATCAGATCAAAAAACTTAAACATTACGGCCGCTATGTTGATGACATCTTTGCAATTGGCACAACAGAAACCGGCGTAGATTACCTTTTAAACGCTGTGAATCAGGCACATCCCTCTATCAAATTTACGGTGGAGATTGAAACGGCCGGTTTGCTCCCATTCTTAGACGTTCTTCTAAGCAGAAGACCTGACGGGAGCGTCCGAAGAAGCCTCCACCGGAAGAAAACCAGGTCTAGAGAGTACACGAACTTCGCCAGTTTCGTAGCTTTCCAACAAAAACGAAATCTAGTTCTGTCTTTGGCACAAAGGGCTGGAAGGATTTGTTCAACGGATAGTATCGAGAAGAAACTTAGGAAAATCCAGGCCTTGTTTCGCGAAAACGGGTATCCTGACAAGTTCATTGGAAAGAACATTGCCGAACGACCGGCGAAACCCACCACACTGACTGTCAAAGAGAAAACTTTGTTCCTCAAAGTTCCTTTCCAAGGAGACGCTGCAAGTGGACTCCTAGGAAGACGCCTTGACCAAGCTGTCTCGATAACCTTCCCAGCAGCAGCGGTCCGAATATCATACCCCAGTAACCCTATTTTACACGTAGGAGGCAAGGACAGGCTGCAAACTCAGACCACCTCAATGTACATCTATTCATTCACTTGCTCCTGTGAAGCAGGTTGTATTGGTCGTACGTGTCGGCATCTATCCAAAAGAGTACTAGGACACCTCCCCGCATGGCTGGCAAAAGACGAAACTAGGAGCATAAACAGCGCCATTCCTGTGCATGCAGTTTATTCAGGACATCGTGTGGACCCCGACGAAGCTTTTCGTGTGATTTATGAGGCTTCCTCGAACTATCCTAAGCTAATGGCCCAGTAGAAGCGGCCGCAATCAGGTGACAAAAACCGACCCTATGCGACCAGAAGAACCTCGTATAGGCTTCGCGCTTACCGTGGTCAAAGGCTGACTTACCACATGCAACTTTCTGTGCCTTTTAAAACTACCTTTCGTCGATGCTTCAATTACTGGTATCTTTTATTGTACCCCTTTCTCGCCTAATTGTGCTGGCCTGAAGAGAATTTATCGAAAGTAACGCATGATCGCATACTCGTCTGCATACTGCCATAGCAGTATGCATTTCCCATAAGTAGAAAATGAAACTGTGGTCTGACACACAGTTCAATGGTCGGAAGTCTTTAAAGAGGATAAAAGTAAAGTGAAGTTGGTACGAAGTAAGCGGAGATCAAACGACTATAAAGAAACGGGACATAGCAGAACAAAAGGTGGTCGCCAGTGGCACGCCCCCTTTTCAACCGTCGGATCTTACACCCATTCAAAAACAGCTCGTACCTTTAAACACTTCTTCCTTTCGACTCGATCTCGACATGGTCTGGTAGAGCGTCCAGCGTTCCCCACAAAACTGAAAGCATGCTCTACACTTTTAGAGGAAAACTAACGCAGACAGGAGACACAAGGTTAAAAAACATAAATAAGAATAAAAGATAGTGAATATGAAATGGGGTTTTTACATTCAAAACGAGCTCCGCTGTGCATAACGCACGAGCAAAGAACGAAGGAAAAATGAATTCTTGTTCATAGCTTTTTAAGACCCGAAAAGGTAGGTCTGTTTTAAAGGGACAGAAAAAGGGGCACGCGAAAAAAAAGATACAGGGAGCTTGGTGTCGGGGATCGAGTGTGTTTCTTCTCCTTTAGAGTTTTCAAACGAGGACAATGGATTAAGTACGGATACAACACAGGAATCAGTGGATATTGTACCTCCTAACCCGCAGCCTTAATTTCCAAGTGCTTCCGCCATCCTTTCTGTTTCGCGAAACTTACCAGCGCCTCTGACGCTTCTTGTCCTCCATTCCTATTTCTCGATCTTCTAACAAATATATGGCTTGCGGTTTGAACTTTCTTTAATTTCTCAGATCATCCCAGTCTGTCTAAGATATTGCTTGTCAGCGTGATGACAAGATCCAAGATTAACCGTCTAGAATAGAGAAAATCCACCCTGTCTATCCTGCTCCATCAAACCGGCAGACGTTAGCCTAGCGCTAGTCCTCGGTCAGAACAGCAGGACGGTCCGCCCACTGCAACTTCACAAAGACGGAGTCAGTCAGCATATCAATACCGCGATCGCGGCAGTAAGCAGAATAGAGCTGGTAAGCGGATTCCGAGGTTTGAAATAACAGAAGGTTGATCGGTCGAGAGTGCTCAGTTTTTCAAGTCAGTTGACTGAGGGATTTTTGCCCTACAGAGCGTTGTAGTAGCTTGTGGTATAATGAGGCGGACAGGACGTTTGTTAAAGGAATTTTCCAGTCTATTCCCGGAGCGGTGAATCCACCTAGAAGTAGTAAGTTCTCCCGCGTACATACCAATTCCAGTACACTAAGTAATTCCATATCGGTGATTTCATTCCAGCTGAGAGG